ATCTACAGAAAAAAAGTTAGCCATAATTCTGTACTATTTTTTCTTGGTTCTGAAGTTTTTAAATCTATTCATACTTTATTCTCATATAGCAAATATTTAAGCTTTGATTCTATATTTAGCTTAGTTTGTATAATCATGCTGAAGATGAGAGAATGTACATGAAAAAGCTCTCCAGTGTTTCACCTTCACCGAACAATTTATTTTCTGAAAATGTCAAAAGCAATGGCTTCCTTTCAAGCTGGTGGAAGAGAATTTACACTTAATGTATTCTAATTCTTCAAGAGACGCTACAAACTTTTTCTCAAGCTACTCCTCTCCATCCATTTATCAAGCTGTAATTGTGACAGTAAATGCATCAAAAATTACCTCTTTTTAACTCATGAAAATTATTAATGTGGGTGTCTACTGCAGCTATGGGCGTTTTATGTCAGTAGAAGGCAATATGTTGAGTGCCAAAGGTCACAACTGAATCAAAAAGAATACCAGACTGTACGATCAGAACTGTAGTTTTCAAGTCAGGTGGTAAAAATAAGTGCTATTTACCATAAGCACTTTGCTGAATGAATAGGAAGTTATGTTCTGTAAATAACTACAGGTGTTCCAGCATAAAGCAGCCTGCCAAATACATGAATAGACTTCTTGTTAATTTTTCTACCTGTTGCCCCATATTCCAAGATCTGTTCCAGGTTAAATAAGAAGTAAGGCAAAGCAGTCACATGAAGACAAGGAATACAATTACCTGGTTGTTCCATTAATTTAATGAGAAGAACCACCATGGCACGGACAGGCTGAAATTCAATCCACTGAAAACAATGCATATAATCATTTGCATAACCAAGAGCCCATCTCTACTGAAATGAAAGGGTAGCCCACAAGTGTAAGAAATTCACGTGTATAGATTGCTGGTCTGGAACATCAGTCCATAGATATTTACATGCATCTCTTCAGTTGCATCTGTATATAATTAACCCAAGGGGCATAATGGGAATGGAATTCACTATGTGCACACAGCTATTCCTGCATGCATGGGGCTTGGTCTAACTATTTCCTTTTACTGAGTATCTGTGGTAATCACTCCCAACTAAACCATATTGAAAAAGTACATTGCCATTTGGCAGCAGGACTTGCTGAAAGTATAAGTTTCTTCATTACCAGCAAACATATACAACATCTTGCTGGATCAAAGATCAAGATTACAAATATAAAGGGATAATTTTTTAAATTGTTATTGTACATTGTGACAACTTTCAGCAATCAAGTGAGCACAGAACAGCACCCATGAAAAATAAAAGCTGTAAACAAATATATGCATACAGCCAAAGTATCAATATCACCCTTCATTCCTCTACTTCTATTACATTGTTATTTCAAAATATTCTCAGATATTCTACTAGTATTTCTAAAGAAAAAAAGTACAGGCATTTCCATTTCTATTTCTTTTATCCTTTGTGAAAATTCTTCTGACCTTTTTAATCTCTGTAAATGTTCTCAAAGACTCCTACTCAGTTCTTTCAGACACTTAATTTTTCGCAAAACACTTTTCAAGAGTACAAGAAATGTTCTAATGCTAGAAGTTAGTTGAATTGTAACTTGAGACAGCGATCTGTCATCAATTAAAAGTAAAACAGAGACTAAAGGAGAAGTAGGAAAGAAGATAATTAACATGTTAGCAAATATTTTTAAAAGGTCATGCTTTTTTTGGTAAGGTTAAGTAAAATAGAGACAGTTGGCATGCCTGAATTCTTGAAATGCCAATATTTGAACAGGTTTTGACCTAATACATGATTCAACCCCTCCCAAAATCCCTTTACCTCCTATAAGAGCTCTAACCTATACAACTACATTTGCTTTGTTCAAGCTAATTTATTTGTTCAGAATACATATTCCATTTTTTGGTAGAATGGAATAGTATACATATTCCATTATACTTATTCCATTTTTTGCACATCTTACACACACACCCAAATTATGGAATGATATGATGATGATGATGATGATGATGATGATGATGATGATGATGATTTTATACCTGCCAGTAGTTCTAGGTAGTTCACAACAATTTATCAAAGCACAGTAATAAAAAGATACAAATAAAGTACAAATACAATAAATCAATGTAAAATTGCAATATAAAATGTAAAACCATTTAAATACCTAAATAATTTCAATAAAATTAGACTGGCTTAAGTCAACTGACATGTCCCATCATATGAGGAGAAGAGTTTTTAAAGACAGCTGTTTATTTATTTACTTTATATACCACTTAATAGCCTAAGCTCCCTGGGAAATTCACAATAAATAATGTTGGTGCAAGGTGGGCCTCAGTGGGGGAACCCCCGATTCCACTACTGGGGGCCCACCACTGAGAAGACCCTCCTCCTTGTTGCCTCTTTACAGGCCTTCCTTGGAAGGGACAGTGCAGAGGCAGATGGTAGTGCCCAGGTAGACTGATGTCAGGAGAGGCATACCATCAATACATTAGTTTGCCCTGGAAGATGGTCTACACAGAAAACTGGACAGGGAAGTGTGTCCTTGATGGTTCTCATGACTTCTGATACTATCTTTTTGTATCTCCTGGCTGGGATGACGGTTGTGGCTATTGTCTTCCAGGAAAGGCCATTTGGCACTCTGGCATGGTGTTCGGACTGTTTGATTCCTTGGATGATGATCTATGGAGCCCTGCAAAGTTTCATTTTGTCCCCAAGGCTGTTTAATATCTACATGAAACTACTGAAAATCTGGAGTGTGTGGTCACACAGAGGATGCACAATTCTGTCCTTCCTTCCTCTCTCACTCCAGAGAGACTACTAAAGTTCTGGTCCCTTGAGTTACTAATGGACTGAATGGTGCTTAAGAAACTGAAGCAATGCTGACAAGGCAGTTGTGTCCCCGTGGTGGAGCCTCTGGGGACAGGCATTCAACCTGTGCAGGATGGAGTAGTGTTTCGCTTGAAAGTTTAAGAGCTCTTAGACTTGGCCTCTACCCTGGATGCCAAGATGATAATCTGGTCATCTGATCTATGTCATTCCCAGAAAAGGCAGAAAGGGCCATGGTGATAGATGTCTTAGTTATGTAACATCTGGACTGATCTTTGTTTTACCATTTTGCATTTTGGAGCTTTAACTTTTTTGACCTCCCCAGAGAGGTTTGGGTGGTATAGAAATCTATCTCATGTACCTACAAATCCAAGTCTTATTTTTCCCCCCATTTTCTCCATCTTTTCTGTTGGAACCTAAAGTAGATTATTTTTGCACTTGGGGAAATCAAACGTACTCCTATAGTTAACATACTGAATTCTTCACTCCAGTTAGTCAACATTTCGAAACATAGCCAAATCCAAAGGTTCTGCATATCAGAACAGTCTTTAAAATAAGCGTATTTTCTTTGATAATAATAAATAACAATGTAGGATCAAAGTATTATTCTCAAATGGTCCATGTACAGAAAAATGTGTAAAAAGATAATGATAGAAATGACTAGTGTACACAGTGTTCTAGTTACAGTTATATAGGACTTTGCACATAATATTCCTATTATAAGCATAACTTGTATGTGTGCACGTACTCGTACATCAGTGCATCAAAACAGGAAAAATACAAATTCTTTGATGAGTACACTAGGTTTGATAGACCATGAGATGGTTGCATTAGGAGAGTCATTTATGATTCCTTCTCATATTGGATAACTTTATACCATAGCCTGTATTTGTCTACTGGAATTGTTGCATGTTGCAGCATGGAAAGCAATCTTAGCATCAGTGCATTTTAGCACAGATATATGTATAGAATCAGATAAGGGGTGCAGCTTCCATCTGCATGCTTCAAGCTGTGAAAATATGTATGAATGTCACTATTTGCACGGCAAAAGCATGCTCAGTTGTGGATAAATAAAAGCATAATAGCTTTTCAAATGTATACTGTACCAAAATATATTCATAAATAAATTAAAGCACAATAGCTTATTAAAGCTATTTCAATGGCTTAGTAGACACACCCAAATATCAGTGGCTTAGTATACTTAGTATACTTCAGTGGCTTAGTAGAGATGCTCAAATATCAGTTTACACAATCATTTCCATGTATGTGAACTGTAGTGCAAAAAGGAAACTCAAGGGTCTTGTTTCCCAAACCTGCACTGCAACCAGACCATATGACAATGTTGTTCCGTTTTGAATACAGGCAATCAAAGAGATCTCTTTCCTCTATAATCACTCTATGTAGCAAGCTGTAGTAGCAAAGTCTTCAGATAAGTTCCAGGAGGAAGAGAAATCAGTGCCATGTAGTAGTTAGGGTGTTGGGCAGGGACCCAAGTCTTCACTATAAGTTCACTGGGAAGCCTTGCGCTAGTCTCTCTGCTTAACTTACTTCCCATGGTCATTGGAGGGTAGGGTGAAAAGGAGAAAGATCATGTCCATTGCCTTAGGCTCCTTTGAAGAAAAGACAGTCTATAAATGTAACTAATGAACAAACAAGTGAGCATGGACTGCTAGGAAAAGTGAGATGGGCCTACAGTGCCTATCCATATTCTTGGCCTCTTGATACACAAGGTATACTGCAGCAGTTTTAGGCATAGCATCAGACCCATGTGGTGGACACTTTTAATCCATAACTGAAGTGATCTTGTTCTACTTTGAACAGAGACCAATAAACAATTTTGCTGAGTCTCAGAATTATTTTATCATCAAAACAAAATGACTGGACATTATTTCTCCTGGGAAATTTTTGATACTCATATTCCACCCTAAGTTATCTGGGGTAAATAATCTCCTCAAAAGTGATTCTGAAAGGTTGACAGGTGAGCGATAAAGGATATGCTTGCATACAAATGAACCCAGGTTCAATTCTGGCTGCTCCAGTCTGAAACCCTATTGAGCTGTAAGTCCATGTAGGTGATTCCAATGGGGCTGCTGAGATGACCTTGTAGCAGTCCCTTAAATCATCATATCATGCCAATATTGCTACCCATTAAATCCTGATAGCAGACCAGGGTGAAAGTCTTACCTGCGACATAGTCACCAAATCCAATAGTTGTTAAGGTGATAACAACAAAATAAATTGCATCTAGTGTATTCCAGCCTTCTATGTGCTTGAAGATTACTGCCGGGAGAGCAACAAACAGCACACAGCCAAATAGGATGAATATTATTGTTGATATTATGCGGATCTTTGTCTGACTCACATTCCACTTCTAAAGAGGAAAGGGATAAATAAAGGGGAAAGAGGGATAAAGGAGGAGAAGAATGCATTCTTAGTAAAATATTATCATTGTATATGCACTGTCTGTATGTGCATTATCTATAGGTGCGTTCACAGAATCCTTGTATGGGTTAAGATGTGAGTTGCACTGGGAAGACACTGATTGGGAACTATTTGGAGATAAGCAGAAACATACAAGGAAAGGGCTGCATGTTTCTTTCTTCTCTACTTTACATCGACTGACCTCCTAAACCTGCTTTTCAGAAAAGCAAAGGACAGAAACAAAGAAGGGTGAGCTACACGTACATGTAGGCAGCATCTAGTTTATTTCATGAAGGCAAGACCAAAATCTCTGTTCCAATAGTCCACTGTTGTAAGTGGTCCACAATGGACTCAAATAATTCCATTTCTATGACTCTGTCTTGCAGATTCTGCAATGGACCTGCTGTCCCCAAGTCACATGGATTTCAGACTTGCTGGGCACTTTCTTAAACTATCTGTAATTTACTGCCAATTTAGTCATATAAAAATGCAAATAAACAATTAAATAAAGCCTGACTGATAAATGTTCATTTCCCCCATAGACTAAAGTGTGAAAATTCAGATTTGGAGATTTGTGCATTTTCACAAGTTTGTCTATCCATAAATACTTATAAACACATTTGTACAAAAATCAAATTAGCCAATGAGAAGACAACAAAAAGGAAAGGCACCTGAAAATCACAAAACACAGATGGAGCTGATTTTGCAAAATTATGCACAGCTTCTTTTTGGCAACTTTGAAACCATTTCCCATGACATATAAAATATTAACATTGACATCATTTTGCTGTTGAAGCTAGGTTTTGTGTTACCCTTTAAGATAGTTTTAAACTTACAGAAATTATTTACACTGCGTATTTCTATTTCAGGATGATATACTCACAACAAAAGTGTCCTCTACTTTGGCAATTCCTTTCCCAAATATGGTCCCTAGTTGATCTCCGACTCCAGCCAATAGAAAACCAAAAAGAGGAATTCCCAGTAAGGCATAGATGATGCAGAATATCTTTCCACCTTCTGTACGTGGTGAGATGTTCCCAAATCCTAAATTACAAAGAACTTGAGCTGTTGATAAATCAGTTAAAGGCATTAAATTACACATCTAATTAGTACTGCAGATCAGGACACTTTTAAAATGTTCCCTAGGAGTATATCACATTAAAACATTCATATGGAGAACCTAGATTAATTGGACTGCTAAACCACCTCAAACTAAAATGCATTTGGGGTATTATGCAAAGAATCAATCTAATATAGTTGGAACTGACTGAAGAGGCCTGCAAAATGACGTCACTGCAGACAGACAGTCAATTCACTTCAAAGGGAAGTAGGGGTTTTGGTTTTGTTTTCCATTCTGAGAACAAGATCAGATCTGCAGTAAGACCACTAAATAATGCACAGATGTCATTCTATTGTCCAACATGGCTAAGTCTCTTTCAAAACATCAAGATTGGATCCATACTTGCCTTTCTATAAATGGAAAAAGCCTTCTTCCATTCATGGAATGAACTAGAATCTACTGGAAGAAGTAGATGGGATCAGTGTCAGCTCCATGTTTTGGTGGCCCCTGGGCAAGATACCCTCAATTTGCCCCTTCCTTCAACGAATCTACCTTCCAGCAGCTGCTGCTTCTCATCCTTCTTCACATTACTGTTACTACTGGCCGAGAGCCACTGAGAAATCAGGCAGCAGTGTCTATTGTCCTCCTGTCTCACTACCATCATTGTCTGGATTGCAGCAACTGGCAGGGGAACAAGCAGGCTACTTTGGTGAAAAGGAAAAGAATATCCACATAGGTCTTGTCAATGACTCCTTCCTGCTGGGGATGGACCCTCAGCAGGTGCTCAAGCATGCCTCTCGTTAAGGCCTGGATGCATAATGATTGCCTCTGATTCCCTCTTCCACCTGCAACCTCAGTGCCACTTCCTACACTACAGAGGGGAAGGAAAACGGGAGAAAATCCTTCCTTAGCACCAATGGAACTGAGCTGAATGCAAGAATGGATCCAAACCAAAATGTTTACAAGGTACAGTGGAACAATTAAATTAAGACCCCCACCCCACCCCACCCCACCCCAAAATGGACAGGAAACTACTAACAGTAGTTAGGGCAGATATGGAAAACGGAATGGTTTACTATGGGCAAAGACATCAGACAAGGATGCATTTTATCTCCCTGTGTGTTCAATCTGTATGTGGAACATACAGTGAAAAATGGTGGAAGATACATCTATAATTTATGATATCCCGATGATACCATATTACTGGCAGAAAGCAGCAATGAAATAAAAAGACTCCTGATGAATATGAAACAAGAAAGTGCAAAAGCAGGACTTCAGCTGAACATTAAGAAAACAAAATCATGACAGAAGAATTATACAACTTTAATGTCAATAATAAAGAAATTGAAATTGTGAAAATGTTGCATACCTTGGCTCAATTATCGATTCAAAGGGAGACTGCAGCCAAGAAATTAGAAGAAGACTGAGACTTGGAAGGGCAGCAATGAAGGAATCAGAAAAGATCATCAGGTACAAGGACATTCCACTGAAGACTAAGGCCAAGAACATCTACACTATCCTACTCCCAATCGCTAAGCATGGGTACAAAAGCTGGACAGTGAAGAAATCTGACAAGAAAAATATCAATGCGCTAGGGAAAGCTGAAGGCAGAAGAAGAAGAAGAGGAAGACTAACTATGAGAAGGATGGATTCCATTAAGGAAGCCACAGCTTTAATTTTGCAAGAGCTGAACAGGGCTGGCAAGGACAGACACTTACTCACAGGGTCACCACAAGTCAGAGATGACAGCACCCAACAGCGACAGATAATGTTGTGCCAGAAGCTGGCACTGAGAAAAACATGACTGCATATTTTGCATCTTCTTGTGATTTTAACAACTAGTGTATTGATCCAAACTCCTTTGTAGTTCTCAAGAAATTACATTTTTAGCATGGTATTAGAAGTACTGGAAGGTAAAATCAGCCCTCTGCTACGAATACTTAATGTCAACTCATGAGTTGGAAAGATTTATCTCCAAAACAAAAAGGATTTGTGATAGATAATTAGTAAAACAGTGTTAGACAGATTTGATTGAAGCTGATCCAATTAAGATTGAACCAAAAGTTCTCAACCAAGTGTTTCTGGAACATGCAGTGTGCATGTCCATGCGTCTGTGTGTCCGTCTGTGTCTGTGTGTCCGTCTGTGTCTGTGTGTGATAGAGGTTAGATATTTAGGGCATTAGAAAATGGGGAAATGTGGGCAAGAATTCTTCCAAATGGCCGGAGAGGCTTATTAATTGTGGCAATCACAGTATAGTGGACCCTTTTCATTTCTTTTAAAACTAGGGTATGCTGCTGCTCTTGGCGACTTCTGCCTGCCTTCTTTTCCCTTTTGCCAGAATACTGTGAAACAACGCTATGTCTGGGATGGGCTAGCAGGGAGGCATCAGCTGAAGTTGGTAGACACTGGGAGGAACCTGAAAGGACGAAACAGTCTTTAAGGGGGAAAAAAGAAAAGCCATATTGCTGCAAATGGCAAGGCGAACTACCCATAATGGTTTGAAGTATTTGGTCAATGAAAAATTCCTGAAGTGCCCTTATCAAGGGTCTGGGTTGGATTTTTGGTTTACTATGAAAACCTAACTATGTTCATGCCAGATTAACCATCAGAAAATGTTGCCCTATTCAAGTGCTCATCTCTTGAACTTCAAAGCCTGGAACTCACATTGTTTTCTTTTTCAGTTTCCACAAAAATCCTGGATATTCAGGAGGAAGCATGCCAAAGCAGAAGGCGGGCTTGTTCCTGCTTCACATCAAGTTCCATATAAGGCTCCTTTCTGAATTTCTGTGCTCAGAGGCATCCATGACTTCTTTATAGAACATAAAAATACATTAGGAATTCCAAACACTAGGAATTCCATATCAGATCTACTTTAACTTGCATATACCACCAGTTGACCAATTAGTCATTAACTCATACCTTTCAAAACATTAATTATTTCATAAGATATCAGAAGCCAGACCATGGCCTCCTGCTGTGATGGGTTTCCCCACTCTATACCCTCTGGGGATATATAATAAGCCCTCAGAAGTGACAGAGATTCTTCAGAGAAATCTTTCTTTTGCTCATAATGAAACTTCTAATTAATAAGGGTGACTGAATGAGATTTGAAGAAAATTACCAATCAAGCAACTTTCATGCAGGTCATGTGATGACAGTGGTCATGATCAACCTGCATAGTTCATGCATGTGTGGCATTTTTTGTTCAAAATATTTATCTTACTCCTCTTTCTCCAGGATGCTCAAGGCAGCATGGTATTTTGACTACAGCAGCCTAAGAAACTGACTGCCCTAGGTCACCTTCCTACCTGAATAAACATTTGAACTCAGTTCTCCCCGGATGGGATCTCCAGATGTGTTGGATTGCAACCACCATCTTTTCCAGTTATATAGGACTGCAAATCCCATCATTGTCCAAGCCATCTGGAGGGCATGGGGCACTGCGCTATTCATCAAGTCAAACAAGGATATATTTTTAAGCAACAGAATGTGACTCCCTTCTTCTAGTAAGAGCAGAATGGGCTGTGTGGAGAGAGGGCAGTGCTCCATCACACCAGCCACACCTGCACCGCACCTGCCTGTGGAGGAGGTGGGGCCTCCCACTGTGGGACCCTTCTAGGGGCTCGGCACCTTGGGAAGCCAACACTGTGCTTGTCAGCCCATCGTTGCCCCCACTGCTGCCGCCACCCCTCCATTGCCAGACATCGTGAACTCCCCCACAAACACCTGGTGAAGGCAGATGGGGAGCGGGGAGAGGGCAACTCCACAGCATGCCTGCCCTGCCTGCACTGGCTTCCCATCAGGGCCTTTTTATAGGCTCAGCACCTGGCACTGAACCCTTTAGCAGGTGCTGAAGGGTGGCATCAAAGGGCAATTCCCGTTGGGGGCCTATTCAGTGCCATTTCAGCACCATTTGGGAGCAGGGACTCTTAGCTGCGGGTTGCTGATTTGTTCCTGTAATTATTGTTTTTTTGCTTGTTAATTATGATCATTTTGTTGTTTCTGTGTATATTTTTAAAATCCGTAATCCACCCAGAGAAACCAAATGTGCTATAGGGTGGTCTAAGAGAGTAATTATAATGATGATAATCACCCAGCACATTTCCCTTGAAGTGTGAGCTGAAAAAAGGGAGACACATCAAAGGCTGCTTAGATGTGTTTAAGGTCTGGGACTGAAAAAACAAGGAACTGGGGAACCAAACTAGACAAGATGTGAGAGAGCCATACCTAGGTGTTTCTCCCTCAGGTACAAGTTCTTGGGGAGGACTTATGCTAGGAAAACTCATGGGAAATAAAGGGGTTTTTTCCCCCAGTGCTGTGCCCTCAATGTTAGTCACCCTCCAATTGCTTTTAATTCTAAAAGAAACCACAGGAAGTTTGATTACAAACTTCTCAAGTCAAATCTAATTTGATCCCAGGACAGAGAAAAAGCTTACATACTTATACAGGTAAAAAAAAATACTCTTGGCTACCAAGCCAAATGGCTTCTACAGAGTAGCATGTCTAAAAGCACTCCTAGTCCTTGCACTTGACCCTTCAAAGGAAAGTGCAGTTGCAACAAAGGGCAGATACTGTACTCTATCTATATTGGGTCACCGTCCCACAACAATGCCGTCCCACATACATAGTATCAGCTCATTCACCCTCAACCATCCTCAAGCCACCTTAAGATACTGGCTTAAGAATCTCATCTAGGATCACTAAATGAAAACAAGAGATTGGGTTGTATGTCATCTACATATTGATTGCACTTCAGTCCAAACCTTCACATTGACTTCCACTAGTGGCTTCCTGTATCTAGAGATTGACAACTTGTAGAACAAGAGGCCCAAGACTCCAGTGAGCCATATCTAACAAAATCAGTGGTAAGGGATCATGTGTGTTGAAGGCCAAAAAGTTGCCCATTCCTAATGTAGATGCTGAAAGGTTTAGGAGACAATATATAATTTTGTCGTACCCACAAGCCAGCAGCCATGAGAGAGA